GGGAAAGAAATATTTATCGGTCGTAAAGCATACAAGTTGACGACCCTGTCCCTCCGAGCTTTTTCGCGACGAGCATAAATCGTCCCCTCAGGAAATCTGCGTTTAACGACGAACGATCGTTCGCGTATTAATTATGTTCTATCGAGAGGTCTTGGTAAAATTATTTTTCGAATCGATCGTCGAGGGGAAGAAAAGGAACGGTAATTTTTCGTAGACGAATTAAAAATTTCAACGTCGTTGGTTTAACGCCCGTAACGTTTCTTACGGATCGTCTATTGAATTCGTTGCCCGACTTTTTAGCTACCTCTATAGCTTTTCTAATTCGAAAGACGTTACGCATACCTGGTGAAAATCGCTGATCTGAGATAACGCTGAATACCTGTACACGCTTGGTTGATAGGTGTTACGTAATTAAAATAGCTATAAACTTCCTGTGTTATATAATTTTATAGAACTCGTTGTTCAGCTAGTAATTGACTCGAAGTATGTTAACTAGCAACAAAAGAGTCACGAAATCCGCTTCGTGCGAGGTTTAATAAAGGAGAACTTCGTTAGATGAAAATTTAATTTGCGGCTAATTAGTTATCCAATTTTCGCGCCGCGGATGCAATGAAATTCGATGGAATAGCTGGCGTGATTTAAAATTCGAAAGGTTTCCAGATTCTTATATAAATTCCGTGCTCGTGTCGTTCGAATTATTTATCGTCGTTTCTACCGACGCACTCGGTCATACTAAAATACACGTAAAACCGAAGAGTAAGAGGCTTAAGATCTTTCAAACGCGAGTATCACAGGGAGAACTCAGCGAGATTTACGGAGTATTTATTAATCGAGGACAAGAATTTTATCGGGATCGTGACCTGGTAGCTCTTGACCTTCTCGTCGAGTTTCTTCAAGGTCTCCTGTATCGTGGTGAGGGTCTTGTCGTTCGACTTCTCCTCCACTTGCGTCTCGTTCTGCGTCCTCAGTTCCTCGAACCTCTTCAGGATCTCTCTGACGCTTAGCTTACTTCCATCCGCGTTTTCCTCCGCGATCGTCTCCATTTTCGAAACCTTCCTTTCCCCGTTCACTCGACCAACGATCTGATCGCTGTCGTAGAAATCTTGGATCAGTTCGTTCACCTGCATATCCTCGGCGTTTTGACTTTGTCTAGCCGGAGATTGAGCGCGATATTTCGCGTCATTGGTCTCGTTATTTCTCGGTGGACCAGGTGGACTGGAGTTTCTCGAGTTTCGAAGCAAGCAACCCTCTTCCAGCCTCAGTTGCTCGATCGTCGGCTGGGTCTGAGAGCGGTCAGAGTTAGAGGTGTTTATCGAATTGATCGTCGAAGCTATAGGGCTGAGGAAAGGCTTCTGATCCAACTTGGATACGTCGATTCTGGGTATATTTTCGTACTCGAATTTCTGCTGGTTAACCACTTTGGAATCCTTCTTGATCAACTCGATACTCCTCGAAATTTGCTTCACGTTATTCTTGTTCACGTCCAGGTGACCAGAATCCGGTGACACCTTCTTTTCTTCCTGCTTCTTTTTCCTTTTACACTCGTCTTTCGCGAAAAATTTAATGAACCTGTTCCTCTGCTCGTTCTTCGTTCCCTTTTCACGGTTGGAAGCCTTCTCTAGGAAGGCTCCGGAGTCGTCCGTTTGCCCGTATTCGTCACTGCTCAAGTCAGACTCCGAGGACTTCACCAGGAGGCTGTCAGGGGAGTTTGTTTTTCGATCTTCATCGGAGAAGTTCTTGTGATCGAACTTCCCGACGAGATTGCTTATGCTTTTTCTTCGTGGACCAAGCTTCGAATCGTGATCCTCGTAATGTTTCCTATAATCCTCGTCCACTCTAGAGAACGAGTAATCCGACGTGGATCTCTTGTCGATCTTCACGTCGCGTCGGTAATCCACGTTCTTCCCGTTTTCGTTCGTCTCCAATTTACGTAGAAACTCGGATCTTCTCACGATCCTTTGAACATTGTTGAACGGCTTCGGCTCGATCTTCTTGCACTCGTTTTCAGAGATTTCCGAAGGATCGACGAACTGAGAGAGAATCTCTGGTCGATGCTTTGGCTTCTTCCTCAGAGTCGTCGGTAGCTCTGCCCAGTTGCTGGACAGCCTCTTGGAGAAGATTCCCTCGGTGTCAGAAACCTCCCTCTCCATTTTGGTCAGTCGATGATCAACACTTGGTTCGTTGACTCGATCGAATACATCTGGACCAGTTCAAGCCAATTATCTTGGTTCCACATCCATAGGTTCGTTCAGGAAGATGGTTCCATGAATTCCAGGCGTCGACCTGGTTATTAAATACTCGTTTCTTCATCTGA